TCTACACATCCAGACCTTCCGAGCACGTCTCCTGAGGAACTCAGTCCCCGGAGCCAGCCTGTGGCAGGCTCTCAGCATCTGGGAATTACAGATAGATAAGGAAACTGAAGTAGAGAGCTTGTACCCACTGGCAGAGGAGGTAGGACCTGGCCCAGGCAGTTTGCTGATGCATCTGCACCCTGAGCTTGTTCCCTCACTCTGCACAAGCCCTTGTGCAACAGGCAGCGCCCACACCCGGAGGAACACTGTTCTGGGTCCTAGCGAGGTCTGAGAACCCCCCAGAATCTCTGCTCTTTACAGATGACCCCAGTCAACCCAGCTCTGCCAGCAGACGTGCCTCGGGGTGAGGAACCCCCTGGCACCCCCAGATAACACCAGAGCTCTACCTCTCACCTCTCCAGACAGGAATGGGGCAGCGCTGCGAGCCCCTTACACATCCTGGCAAGTGGTCTGGGGCCTCCGCTCTGCACACAACTTCTCAACAGCGAACAGGAAAAGTCTGAAAACTTCCTCGGGTCTGGGGCTGCCTCTCCCGCGGAGAGATATATAAGGCTCTGGCCCAGCCCCCTTTGGCTCTGGAGACCAATCCAGGGCTGCAGAGGAAGCTGCAGCAGGAGAGGGCTGTGCTGCTGGGCTGCCACCCTCCCCTGCTGAGATCTCCTCAGTGTGGCAGGGCTGGCTGGGGTCCCCTTACAAAGGACCTTGGTTCCGACTCCAAGGTCAGGCCGCCACAGAGACTGGAGGCGGGAGGAGGCCCAGGAGCCAAGGCCAGAGTCCAGCCACAGATGAGACAAAGTGACCTTTATCAAATCAAAGCACTTATAAATGTGTGTATGTGTGTGTGTGTACGTGTTTGAACTTATGCACATGTATGTGTATGTGTGTATATGTGTATATGCATGTGTGTCTATATGTATGTGCATGAATGTATGTGTATGCATGCACAAGTGAATGTGTGTATGTATGACTACGTATGTGTGCATGAATATGTATATGTGTGTATATGTGTGTATATGTATGAGAGTATGTGTGTATATGTATATGAATATGTATGTGTGTGAATGTATGTGTATGTATGTGTGTACACATTTATGCCTGTATGTATGTATATGTGTGTATGTGTATATGTATGTGCATATGTATGGATGTGAATGCATGTGTCTGTATGTGTCTATGTTTATATGCATATGTGTATGGATGTGAATGTATGTGTCTGTGTGTATATGTTTATATGCACGTGTGTATATATGTGTATGTATTTGTGTATGTATGTATGTGTATATATGTGTTTGAGTGTACATTTATATATGTGTGTACATGTTCTTTGTGTATGTGTATGTGTATGAGTATATATGTGTGTATGTGTATATGTATGCATTTGTAGGTATGTGTCTACGTGTGTATATGTACGTGTATAAGTGAGTGTGTATGTGTGTGCATTTGTCTTTGAACAACGGCCCTCTCTGCTTTTTTGCAACCCTACCCTAAGCATAGTCAGTCACTTGGATGTCCAAATGGATGTCCACAAATACTGAGACTGTATCCAGGCTCTGCTGCTCACTGGCCAACTCAACAAAGGCCACTAATTAATCATGGCTGATGACCTGCAACTTGAGGGAAAAGGAGCAGATGACTTGGGCCTTGGTGAGAGAAGAGCAGAGGACCTGGGTCCTTGTGGGTGAAGAGCAGAGGACCTGGGGCCTTGGTAGGAGGAACAAGGGGACCTTGGGCTTTGGTGGGAGAAGAGCAGAGGACCTGGGTCCTTGTGGGTGAAAGGCAGAGGATCTGGGGCTTTGGTGGGAGAAGAGAAGATGACCTTGGGCCTTGGTGGGAGAAGAGAAGATGACCTTGGGCTTTGGTGGGAGAAGAGAAGACCACCTGGACACTTGGTGAGAGAAGAGCAGAGGACCAATGGCTTTGGTGGGAGAAGAGAAGACCGCCTGTGGCCTCGGTGGGAAAAGAGAGAACCCCACCTTGATTGGTTCGCACTGTTAACAATATTGCTTTATTATGGCTGCATTCACGACAAGCTCGGTCTCTAAATATCCCTGCTGGACACTAGAAGTGGGAAGCAGGGCCTTGTGGTAGCTTAGGCCTGAAGCAAAGCCTGTGATAACCTGGAGCTGCACAGGGTTATGAAAGACGGTTCTGCCCACAGTGTCTTAATCTGTTCTCCACGAACCTCAGTGCTTTGAAACTATCAATAGAATTCAGAGTACCATGTCCTTAGGTAGGGAAAAACACATTCAGTCCATCTCCCTCCAAAAGTCCCCAGCCAACTTTTCTAGCACTGCTCAAATTCCAAATCCAAAGTCTCCACTGAGGCATGTCCCTGTAGGAAGGCAGAAACACAGCTGCATACTGGCAAGCTGCAGGGTCTCAGGAAAACATGTCCCTTCCAAAGGGTGGAAGAGCACTTAAAAATGACAAAATCATGGAATTCGCAGGGAAATGGATGGCACTAGAGCAGATTATGCTTAGTGAAGCTAGCCAATCCCTAAAAAAACAATACCAAATGTCTTCTTTGATATAATGAGAGCAACTCTGAACAGAGCATGGAGGAAGAGCAGGAAGAAAAGGTTAACATTAAACAGAGACATGAGATGGGAAGGAAAGGGAGAGAAAAGGGAAATTGCATGGAAATGAAGGGAGACCCTCATTGTTATACAAAATTACATATAAGAGGTTGTGAGGGGAATGGGAAAATAAACAAGGAGAGTAATGAATTACAGTAGATGGGGTAGAGAGAGAAGATGGGAGGGGAGGGGAGGGGGGATAGTAGGGGATAGGAAAGGTAGCAGAATACAACAGTTAATAATTGGGCATTATGTAAAATTGTGGATGTGTAACCAACGTGATTCTGCAATCTGCATTTGGGGTAAAAATTGGGAGTTCATAACCCACTTCAATCTAATGTATGAAATATGATATGTCAAGAGCGTTGTAATGTTGTGAACAACCAAAAAAAAAAAAAAAGAAAAAAAGGAAAAAAAAAACCAAAGGGTGGAATCTGTGGGTGTAAAGGAGGATCAGAGAAGAGTGGGGCTGAAACCCAGCAGATATTGAGCTCTGCCGCTGTGTCTGGCACTGGGACCCCTGTGGCAGCACATGGGCCACAGGGGCCTGGGCTGTTGGCGAACAGGACTCTGACCTTCCGTGCTGCCTACGGCTCGCCTCCAGCCTCACCTCTGAATCTCGCTGGAAGCCCGGGGACCTCGGAAACCTGTGTCTCCCAGGGCATTTAGGGTTTTCTTAATAATTTTTTGATATTTAATTTTTTAGTTGTAGTTAGACACATTACATTTGTTTTATTTATACCGTTGAGCCACAACTCCAGCCCCGGCATTTAGTTTCCAAGACCTCCTTCCTGGGCCTTCCCTGACTCCTGGCTGAGAACAAGGGTTTCAGAGTGTTCCTGACTGTCTTTGAAAACACGTCCTCATGGTTAGATTTGGATCCTGGAGCGCACAGGCCACATCCTCAGGGCTGCTTTGTCCCCGTGGCATGGCATTCAGAGGCGCATGGCTGGTGACCTTCACTGCCATCACCGGTGTCTTTAACTGGCTCCTCGTGGTGAGCAGAGTCTGGGGTTCTTCCACAGTAAACACGCTCTTTTATTAACATGTGGCCTGAAATGAAAGATGTGTGTCTGCCACCTACGTCCAGGCTCCTCCTGGACTGTGAGCAACTGGCTGCACCAGCCCTCAACAGATCATTCCCAGTGGAAGTAGGGTTCTGTGGAAATTTCTAGGTAAACAACTATGTTGTTTTTAAGTAAATATTTGAATTGGTCAATCAATATGTACTCAGTTCTAATCCCAATCTTTTACATCTGCCCCCTGATCTGCTTCTGGCCAGAACCTTGAGTTCTGGGTGGAGTGAACGGGGTGGGAGCAGGATGGCCCAACTGGATCCTGGGAGAAGGGCCCTGCTGGCCACAGCACGGTCACGAGTGGCCTTCATCAGAGGAAGCCCCTTCCCCCCGCTCCTCTCCTGAGTACGTCTTCATCGTAAGCACCCTTCTCCAGAGACGGTGGTATTTCCCTGCTGTGTTCAGCTGGTGAGTGTGGGCTGGCCACTGTAGACCAATCTGCAGTATGGAATGGAACTCACCTAGTACTGGTTTGATCTCCAGTTTGTGTCTTTCTTGATTCAATTGCCCCTGGCCTCTGAGGGACATCTGCTCCTGAATCACGAGGACTGTGGACCTGACACCCTTTTCTTGGTAATAAATACCCTTGTTCATTGTTCACATCGGAGTCGGTGAGCTTGTGAAGTGAGCTGTGAGGTGTGCCTTGCTTCTCCACTTCATGACAGAATGCTCTACTTCTCCACGAATGGCGTGACATCCATTACGGAATTGTCCAGGCGACGTTGTTCTCTGGGGGAAGAATTTTGAAAACAAAATCAATTTCTACTTCATTTATCTGTTATTGCATAATAAAGCAACAAAAATTCAGTGACTGAAAGCTAGCGTCTTGCTGTAGGCACTCCTGTGCTTGTGGGTCCTGCAGGGCTGCATTCTCCTGGAGGAGGCCTTGCTCCAAGTCTGCTCTTGCTGGTGAAGCCCTGAACACTCTCTCCAAGTGACACAGGGTGGAGGGTGTCAGGATGCCAGGGCCAGGATTACACACCGTCATCAAAAGACTGACAAGAACAAAGCAACAGGAGGAAAGGCTCATTTGGCTCACAGCCAACGCCATTGCTGTGGGCCTGGGGTGAGCAGGTGTCATGGTGGAAGGGTGTGGAAGAGAAGAGCTGCTCAAGACATGACGGCCAGGAAGCAGAGAGCACAGCTCACCAGGGACAAGAAAGAAACCCCAAAGTCACGTCCAGGGACCCCCCTCTCCAGCCATACCCCACCGGTCTACAGTTACTACTCAGTTAATCCCTTCAAGTGGATTAATGCCCTGACTAGGTTAAGGATCTCATGACCCGATCACTCCACCGCTGAACATTGTCTCACAGAGGAGGTTTGGGGGGGCACCTCATCTAAACCATAACAAGTGATAAACTACTTTCAAACCCTGCATGCAAGTTTTGCTTCATTTTAAGTAAAAAATATGGGCACTATGGTCCAGCAACTCTGTTTTAAATATTTACCCAGGAGAAATGAAAAGATACATAAAAACAATAATTTGCACTTCTTAACCTCATTTATAATAGTCAGAGACTGGAAAGAATCCAGAAGAATACCAAGGGGAAATGGACATTCGGGCATGTGCATACTCAGGGAACCATTCAGTCGAAGTGAAGAAATGGCTGTGAGACCTGCAAAGCCGTGGATAGAGCTCAAGAGTATGTTGAGCCAACCCAACCTGCCAGAAAGTGGGTGTGCTCTGCACTGACAGGAAATCTAGGCCTGGACTGCCAGGCTGCAGCTCAGAAGGCAGGCAAGGCCTCAAGAGGTGGAAATGAGGGGCTTTAGGTATGCTGGAGAGATTCTGTGTTTTGCTGGAGATGCTGGTTTACCACTTACCTAATTCTCCACCCAAGACTGATGCCTTTCAGAGTGAATGAATGCGGCTTCATCAGACCCTGTGAGCTGGGTGCACCCTGACCCTGGGCTTGGCGTCCTGATCTCAAGTCTCCCCAGCTCATAGCGCCCCCCGCTGGCTCCTCGGGGAGACCAATGCTGTGTGAGGGTCCAGGTGACAGGGTCCAGTGGGGCACAAGTTCTCCCTCTCAAGGTGTCTGCTGCACCTTTCCAGAGCCGGACGGTCTCCACAGGCAGCAGCAGTCCACAGTGCAGGGTGTATTCTACTGCCTGTGGAGCAGAGGGCCCGGCTTTCGACCTGGGAGAGCCTACCTCCTGCACTAGCTGGTTAATGTTGCAGAAGACAGCAGACACTCCAAGGTAGGATGGAGCATGGCCTGACAGCTCTGTTAGGCACGGAGCACAGCTGGCACAGCACAGCTCTGGTCCCCAGCGTCTGAAGGGCTGAGGATCCTATAGGACGGTTTGCCAGTCCCAGACAGTAGAAGATGTAGTAGCAGCATTTACCAGGAGCAGCAGGAGACCTGAAAAGCCAGGAGCATGTCCCTTCGGCCACGACTCTGCAGGCTGAACAAAAGCAGAGCCAGCTGCGGATGCAGAACCCACCAGTCCTGTTCAGGTCTCCTCCACTTCTCAGAATCTCCCGCTGAGGCAGGCCTCCCGGCTCTCCCTGGCTCTGCCACACACCTCCCAGTGCTCGGCATGTCTCCAGAGCGATGGCACAGCTAAGTGTATCAAACACACTTTCCCAATTGCTTGGAATTCGTACTGCAGCAAATTCTAACACTCACGGAGAAAGAAAGCCACGGATTCCAAGTGATTTTTATTTTTTGGCAGATGTTTAAAACAACATTAGCAGAAACAATGATATTAGCAACACATGAGAAAGCAAATTGAAGTGCTCACAGAAGATTGTGATTAGCCTCTCTCTGGGTGTCAATGTGCTGGTGAAGGAACAGAGAATGCAGCCAGATGGACTCACTGAGAGCAAAACTGCAGGCTCACCCAGCAAGAGTGCAGAGCCAGCAGCACACAGACCTGTGCTGGGGCTCAGCCGGCTCTGTGGTGTTCATCTGACAGCCCTCTGTGCCAAGTCCAGTCGTGTGGACGGAGCACACCGTTGCTGTGGGGAGGCCTGATTCCACAGTAGCTCCTGTCTCGGCCTCCCACTGTCTCAGCTCTGCACTCCACAGGGCTCAGAGATCCCAATCTACTCCCTTCTCACACCTGCCAGATGATCTAGGTAGACAGGAGGGAGAGAAATTAGAGGGAAGAGCTAAGAAACCTAGGCTCACACGATTGAACATAATCTACTGAGAAGGTTTTCTCAGAAAAACAACAATGAAAATGTTTATCCATAGAAAATGTCCAGAAATGCAATCAGAATTTTCAGATTTAAAATTTCTCCATTTAGGGGATGGTGTGTCGTCCTGCTCTTTCTTACTCCCCTCTCTGGGCCATACCCTACCTTGGAGCCTCAAGACCGTGTACCTGGACTGCAGCTCGTCCACCCACCAACCTTGGGCACCACCACAGCGGCACATGGCCCAGAATCCAGTGCCCACCCAGGCAGGGTCAACGCCGGGGGTCTCACAGAGTGCCTGCTCCTTCAGGACCCACCTTCACTTTTCTCTCTGATGCTGCTGACTCTTCACGCCCCCACCACCACTTCACTGTCACCAACGTTTGCTTCCCCAGCACATGGGAAGGTTCTGGCAACCGGGAACCAAGATTTGTTATGATCACCTCTTCTGAAGGCCTGGCATAGTGTTCTCTGTATCTTAGTTGAGGAGTAAAAAAAAAATCTTAACTGTTAATCACTACTTTGCAAACAAAGGAACATTGTTTACCTCTTAGATTTTCTGACTATGCATCTGTAAAAATGGGAGTGTCAATACCAACTCAGATGACCTGCGGTGAGGACCAACTGTGACCATATGTGCCATATTTAGGGGGCACTTGACCCAGTGTGCTCAGAAAGTGGCACTCTGCAGCAGGCCTGCCCGGAGTGGTGACGTGCAACGAGGCCCTGTCCGGGTAGGCTGCACAGACCATGCCTTCCCCTGGCCTGTGGTTCCTGCACAGCGGCCCTCTGTGTGAGCTTCTGGATGCCGGGACAGCCCCCACCAGCAAAGGACAGGTCTACAGAGATTCATGCTCCCCACCCACTTTTCTCTTGCACAACTTGCAAGAGTCTAGGATTACGCGCTGGCCCCTCTGGGATTGACTGGGACAATGAACTTTCCCAGAGACATCAAATAGCATCTGGATAATTTTAGGAAAATGTTTGATGGGAAAATTTGGGTTTGTTCTAGTGAAAAGCATGTTGGGCTTCCGGGTTCTCAGAATCGCCATAGAATGCCCTTCTTTTCTCTAGCTGTATCACCCATGGCCTGGGGGCCTTGCCAACGCAGATCAATTTAGCATGGATGTGGACTGTGGTTCATGTAGTCCACTGTGGACGTGGACCCTGGCACACAGAGCCAATCATTCTGTGTCCGGCCTTACTAAAGCGTGTTCAAGTCACCTACTCAGGCCTCTGGTTGTGGGATTAGATTGGTGGATTGGAGGTGCTTTTGCACACTGCCTTTGGCTTTTTGTGTACTCAGACAGGAATCCCGTTCATTTACTGATCTTGCCCTCAGGTCTGGCACAGCACTGGCCCGGGTGGGTGGCCCTCGAGTGGTTGCCTTTCCATCATTTGATGCAGGTCCTGCTTCCCTCCTTCACCGCCCGCCCCATGAACTTGAGCTCATCGAACAGTCTCCAGGGACAACCTTGCTTCTGCTTCACCGTGGAGACCCTGGACGGGTTGTCCCTGGGGCAGGCACAGCTGTGGGGTGGGCAGTGCCCTTCTTTCAGATCCACAGCTGCATCTCCTCCTGGTCAGTGGGTGGCAGGCAGAGATAACTCCCTCCCCAGGCCCCTGCCCGTGGCCTCCTGGCCTCACCCCTGCTTTCCCAGTGGACTCATCTCCAGGGACAGGGATCAAAGACTCTTCTGCTTCTGAGTCTGACACACAGGGCAGGCTGCAGGCACAGCAGAGTGAGTCCATCCCAGATGAAAGGATGAAAAACCTCCAGGCTCCAGAGGTGAGGTGCCATGTTACGTCTGGGACCAACCTGTGGCCATTTTAGCCCTCACTCTGAATATGGCCACCAGCACGGGACAGAGCCAAGTCCAGTTTACCCATCTAAATGTCAAGGAAGAAGCTAGAGCTGTCAGCTGCTCCACATGGGGCAAGAGCTTGCCTTCTCCCAATGCAGGGAGGTGACAGTCCTGTCTCATGACAAGGGCAGAGACGAGCAGAAAAAGACAGTGTGCTCTCAGTCTTTGGCTTCACCAAGCTTCCTGGGAGACGCAGCTGCCAGATTGGGAGGAGGCTCTGGCTCTTCAGGGCTCCATCCTTGCTTCCAGGCTGGAAGGCTGGGTGAGGGGCAGGCAGCCTCAGGGCTGTCGGCTTCCAGGAGAGAGAAGCCAGAGTCTCCTCTGGGAAAAGCAGACAGTATGGCTCCCACCTGGGCAGCTTTGAGCCCGTCCCCACTACTCCCACATCTGTAGCGCAGTCTCTGAACAACCACATTTGTCCTCAGCCTTCTGGTTTGTTTCTCACAGGGAAGGTCCTCCTTTCAGAGGGTCAACAAGAGACCCTCCCTGGTTTCCTCTGGCCCTCCCCTAAGGTGCGGGGAGGGCCGTGTAGGGCTCTTCAGGACACGTAGATGAGCTGACACCATGGAGCACTGGGAAGTGCTGGCTCTTGGCCTTCTCTCAGCCTCCCCGGCTCAGCGCATGGTGTTCCTGATGCTAGGTCCAGCGCTGCAACAGATCCCAGGCCAACACGGGCACGAAGCGGGCAGCTCAGCCCAGTCCTTAGTTTAAC